GGTTTTTTTTTTTTTTCTTATTTCAAAAACATAACATAGACGGACACACACACACACACCACACACATACACACGCATATACATACACACACACATACACACACACCATACATACACACACACACCACACACATACACACGCATATACATACACACACATACACACATACACACACGCACATACATACACACACACCACTCACACATACACACATATACATTCAATGAATGATATTATCCTTTCATTTTCGTTCCCTCAAACTTCGTTACTTCTTTTCTTTTCTCATCAATGATAACGTTTGTTCTTCTGCCTGAAATTGAAATATAATTTTAAATATTTTTTCATCTTTCTCAATTGTGCTTTAAAAAAAAATAAAGAATCGATTTATTTTTCTATAACAATTATTATTACTATTATTATTATTATTGATTATATATATATATACTTGACTTTTCATATATCCTAATAAATTAATGATTATTTGATTATACATTTTGCTTAAGCTTCATTTGAATCAAAAATCAACAAAAACCATCCAGGACATTCACATGTTTTTCCGGAATGTTGTAATTGTGCATGAAAAATGACGGATCATGCAAAAATACAACACCTATGACTTTCCTAAATTTTCATTTCCGATTTTAAATCCTATCACTCGATCTGTTTCATTCTATTGATTTTTAATTTATTAAATTTGCAAAATGTTTTTGTTGCATTTCCGATAACAATGTTGTTTGTTTACCACTTATCAATATTTTGTTTTTGAAAAAATTTCCTTTTTTCTTTTCTCCTCCATTATTTTAGGCTTTTGCATATCAGTGTTAAGTAAAAGCTATAATAGGAAAGTAATAAATATAAGCTTCAGAAAAAGTATGCTTTCATTAGCAATTTCAACATTTTAATTTTAAAGGATTACATTTATCGGAAAAAATATTATTGAATTTGTTTATTGAAAACCAGCATAATCAGTGGTATTATTACAAATAAATGATTTCCTTAATCACATTTCATTTAAAATACATCCTGACCAGTTTACATTTCCATCATCAACTGTTGATTGATAATAATGATAATGTTACCATCTCTTCTTTCTTTCTTTCTTTTTTTCTTTTTTATTTTTTTTCCCTTTCTCTCTCTTCTTCTCATAAATTTTGTATAAAACGATATTTGACATTTATTTTAACATTGTATCAACTCTGATTTTATTTTTTTGATATTTCATTTTCTTCAGCGCTATGGTTTTATTTCTCAAATTCAAATACTTTCCAAACCCTTTTATTTCAGTTTTCAAATTTAAATTTCCTAATTTCCTTTATCTCTATCTCAAGATCGCATTTTTTTTTTCTTTTTTTATTATACTAAAAGTAACTCCCAGGCTTTTTTTTTCCTTTATTTTTCCCCTTTCATTCTTTGGAATTACTCAGGAAATGGAGGATTAAAAAAAATTTTCTTTTCATAAATGAAAATCGAATTTTTCATTTATATTTTACAATATAAAAAAAAAAAAAATCCGACAAATAAATTTTCAATCACATAAGTATGAAAAGATAACAGAAACAAAATACGAAAGCATTTGCTTCAAGAAGATGAATGGAGAGTGGTGAAAATCGTAATAATCATTATCATTTTTATTATCACTTGTTTTTTTTTTTATTGTCACTGCTATTAACATCATTATTATCACCA